TAGCTTGACTATAAATTGTTTAGATCCCACCACTAGTCTAATATTGCACTTAAATTCATACAGTCTACGTACCATGGTGAAGAGCTCATCCAAACAGTTACCATGAAAATATAAAAAAAATGTACAGACAGGCAAAATTAGGGCGGTGGGTAAGTTTTGTTTTGTGCACATGTGTAGACATGGCAGCATCAACAAAGCCCAGTTTAATTAAATCCTAACAGATGAAAACATCACAAGGACCTTTTTACAATTTGTCATATGTGTGTGTATATATATATATATATATATATATAATTATTTTTTAAAAATATGACTTCATCATAATTACTTTTAAAAATATGATTCCATTGGCATTATTTTTTAAAAATATGATTCCATGTGAATACATATTTTGTTCTATATATTCACACACACACACACACACACACACACACACACACACACACACACACACGTCCTGATTCATCAAGAAAGCCAACATTGTGTCAAAATTATGAAATCCCTTCCCTCTCCAACTTAAACTATGTAATACTATTTAGCTTAAAACAAGTAAATCTTTTTTTCAAAAGTTATTCAACATTGCTTGAGAATGGAACAAAACTTTAATTTTAAGTTTAATTTAAGGTTTAGGTTTTGGTTCCAAATTATGGTAATTTCTGTTTTGCAATGAATACATATTTTTTAAATAAATATATATATATATATATATATATATATATATATATATATATATATATATATAGCATAACAATATTTGAACATTACACATGAAAAAAATTTAACTTTTATTTATCAAGGACAATTTTAGTTAAATTTATGTTGATATGGAAAGTTTTTTTGTGATACATTTCATACTTTAGGATTTCATTGGACTATGTCCTAAATGATGAAATGCATCACATTGCAACTTTTTCCACTTTGCCATAGATTTTCCTAAAATTCTTCTTGATATATAAAAATTTATATCCCTCCTCACATAGATATATACATATGTATATATATATATATATATATACATATATATATATATATACATATATACATACATGATTTACTTGCATATACAAGCATTAATGTATGTTTATGCACTTATGTATATATGTATATATTCATATATGAGATTATTAAAGTGGAGCTATAATTATCATAGGATATTCTTTTACTTATTTGAATTTAATTCATGCATCTTTGATATTTAAAATATGAAACTGATGAAGCAAAAACTTATAAAACTCATATTTAGACAAGAAATATAACAAAAGTTAAAAATAACTTGAGACTTAAGATTTGATAAAATTCCAAGAAAATGAATGCTGTTTGAATTGTTTTATAGCATTTTCTAAAATATTTAGAAAATCTATTCCTTGTTTGTGTTTCTTTTGTGAAAAGAGACAGATTCATTAATTTCTAAATGGTTTTTGGATGTAATGAATACAATGAACCTGACTGGAATTCAAACTAGGACCTCCAATGTTTCAATCTGTGCTACTATCCATTGCACCATCCACGCACTACCTTTGTCATAAAACATTCCTTTTTTTATACCACAAGCAAGGCAGGAGTACCACTAGTATGCAGGGGATTACAGAGAGTACATTTTGCAGTAAATGTAATATTGTTGTCTTTCATAAACGATTATTTAAATGGTCAAGATATAAAATGATTCTTGTTTCTGCTCCTGGTTAATAACATTTCTTATTCCATTGTTCTAAGATCAACAACAGATCTGTTTCTCAACCACTTTTAGTAACAACTGACATCAAGCTAATAATAAGTTCTTTAAGAGTTTGTTGCTATCAAAGAGACAGGTTACTAAGTACTTTGCATTTATCATTATATTACATTTATAATTTATCATTGCATTTATCATTATCTTTGCTATGATTTTCTTTATATTTACTTATTGATAATAAGGATTATAATTACAACTGAGACATAAACATTTTGTTTTTAATCATTTTATCCCAAGCAAAGTGGGAGTGCTACTAGTATGCAGGGGGTTACAGAGAGTGAAAGTGAGAGAAAAGACTAGGTATAGAGGGGGATTGAGGAAAAGGATAAAAGATGAATGTGGATTCAAGTCAACAGAAGATGGTGGTTGACACTGCATTTAAATTTTTGAAGATTGTAATTATCAAGGAAGCAGCTAAGTGGAAGGGAGTTCCACTGTCGGGAAGTGTGAAAAAAGAAACTGTTGTAGTAGAATTGGCAGTAAATGGTTGGGACCTAGATGCCAATCTAGTAGCATGCTTAAATTCATGTAGTCAGAGCACCACGGAAAAAGCTTGTCAGAACAGTTGGCATGAAAATATTTCTAGAAAAGGCAGAGGGTAGCTGCATTATGTCTGTGAGAAAATGACTGAAGTCGAGATGCCAAAATTTTGATTCATTCACAAATCCGTTCTTTTAACATTGTTCTCTGGTATATTTCAGTTTAATCTGTTTCATATTTATTGACTTCATTTATGCATTAATTTATTCAGCTGTCTGCATTGTGTCACTAAATAAAAAACACTGCAAATATGCTAAAATATCTATTTTATCAGCACTTTTTACAAACTCATTACACTGTTGTATATAAATGTAGATGATGTAACATTTTACACGTTTCTCTTGTTGTCTTTTTTTTTGCCTTAAATATTAAAAATCTATCAGTGGTTGAATGACGGTTGAATTGGTAAAGCCAGCAGTTGAAAATTAATCTTGTGTTTGATACTGTGGGGGATTTAACCCATTTCACATGAATGTTGATTTGGTTTATGATCAAATAATAATGGTTTTAGTTATACAACATGGAAAACATGAGAATTTCTTGTTGGTTTCATTAACTTTAGTACCATAATTTTATCATTATATAATAGATATGAATAGGCTGAAACAGATGATTAGATAATTATGGTTAGATGTAGAGAAATAGATATAGAGGTAAATAGAAATTAATAGATATAAAGATAAATAGATATAAATATGTATGAATATAGAGATAAATAGATATGAATAGTTAAAGATAGAAAGGTACATATAAATAGATACATGCATAAATACAAATAGATAGATGGAGATATTGATATGAATATACAGATGTAGAGATGTGAACTGATAGATAAATAGATATAAATAGTTATAGATATAAATAAATAGATGAAGAAATAGGAATAGATAAATAGATGGATAGATAGATAAATAGATACAGATAGCTGGAATAATAGGAATAGATGAAATAGATGGTTAGATAGATAGATAGATAGATAGATAGATAGATAGATATGGGTACATGGTTTGATAGATAAATAGATGTTTAAATAGATATATATATAGATATATGGATATAAAAGGGAAATAGATGGATGGATAGGTATATAGGTAGATAGAGATAGATGGATAGAGAGAGAGATGAAAAGAGAGATAGATATATAAATAGATAAAGAGGTATATGAAGACAGAGGTAGATATGGATAGATATCAATAGGCACAAATATGAATAGATAGATATGAATTGTCAAAGATAGATTGGGACATATAAAAAAGGTAAATCAAAAGATATGAACCAGTAAAAAATAGACAAAAACCAAAGTGCTAAGACAGAGATCTGAATATTTTTAATCAAGCACTCTCAATCATACTTCTGATCATTTTTAAATTATGGCTTTATATAGCTGCACTGTCTTCTCTGTATTCAAATACTTTTTTTTAAATTTGGTTCTGGATGTTATAAAGTATATCAAAAGATAGTGACTTAGAAGTAAGATTCTTCCTTGGCTAAATCTATTCAATAAATTTCAAATACAGTTCCAACAGTAAATATTTTTTATGATTAGGGCTTCTAATATTTTAAATTATATTTTGCAGGTAATATATAGTATATGTATGTTGTTTTTATTATTTGTGTTATTTTGGTTGAGGTCTTATTGCTAAAAATATGTTTATTAATTTTGGTATGGGTTGAACTGTAATCTATGAGGTGGCAGGTTAATCTACAGGATAGAGTAATTGTTGTATGCTTGATTTATGAATTTAATGTTTATGCAATTTTCTAGTGGTCATGTATGACATACAATGTCCTAACAGTATTTTCTAAGCTTTTGTCTAGCACAAAACCTCCTAATAGTGCTTGTAACAATAATAATGGATAGTAATTATTTTATTAATAAGAATTAATAGTAGGATGATGACATGAATAACATTAATGTCAATAATGTTAGTAGTAGGTTGGTGGTGCACATTAGGTAATATGAAAGTGATAATGTTGTTAATTCTTCTCATGCACAAATCACTACTGCCAATACTAGAGCAGTTGATGTCAGTTGCCCAGCAATTTTGGTTATTAAAAACTTAAGTGATCTGGATGACCTATGCTTTTGGTAACATAGTATAAATTGGATAGTAGTGTGAGTTATGCGTGTGTGATAAAGAGAGAGTGAGATGTTTGGATGTGGTGTGGTATGGTGTAAGGCCAAATTGGCTCTAATTAGACATCCTGCTATTTTCTTTATTTATTTCAGCCAATACATTCTCCATTTCTGGCCAGGAAATGTGAACCACATTTCCTGTATTTGATAAAAGGAAGCATTCCTATTCTAATACTGAATATGTATGCATGTGTGTGTGTGTGTGTGTGTGTGTGTATATTTGTATGTGTTTTAATCATAAATTATATTTTAATTAACATAAAATATCTCCTGCAATTTTAAGATGGATCATTATTATTCTAAGAGTTTTGCAACCTATTTAAATTATTTTTGTTCTTAGTCAATGTTTCAGCAGATTGGCTCTTCAGCCTTTTTGAAGTGCAAATTTTCTGTACATATAAAAATTAATAATCATTCCACCCCACACACACATATGTGCACAAACAAAAGTGTATCAATAAATCCATAGCCTGACGGAGTTATTGTCTGAATGCTTAGATGTTAATTTTACTCTAAATTCAGTCTGTATCAGTAATGAATTAAGTGCATGCATAAAGAAGGAAATTGTAATGATGAACTATATCTATGTGTATGTGCATTCATCTATCTATCTGTCTAGATGTAGATATATTAACTGGCCTAAATCAAGAAGTCATCTAGGCTGGTTTTATATTAATTTCACTATTTAAGAAAATTAAAAATTTAATATCATATTATATATATATATATATATAAAAATGTGAAAAGTGTGTGTATATAAATATATATATATATATATATATATATATATATATATATATATAATTATTTATAGATTATATGTGTGGTACTTATTAGAAAATGCTCAATATCAGAGATAGAGCTAACATATTTGGTTGGATAGATGTGAGTTTGTGACCCTGGGTTTCACGCTTTTGTGATCGTCAGACAAACTGATTAATTTTTTTTAAATTTTGGGTTTATGTAGATTGAAATGTAGATTGTATTGGTGTTATTATGGAAGTGGGGGGGAATCATCGTTGTGATGTCACTCATGCTAATGCAAATATAGATGCATGTCCGTACACCCGATGAGGTACGCAGACACACATACACACTCGCTTGTCCACCAGGGCTCATACAGACATAGACATATGTGGACAGTATGGGATTTGACATATGTATGTATATGGATGCTGTTGTCTCTATACATACGCATTTGTATGTTGAAATTCAAAGATCGGAAGTGTAGCAAAAATTTCTCGTGAATGTATACATGTCAGCATATATATATATATATATGAATTATGATATAACTAAACAAATATATCTGTAAAAAGACAATATAAATAAAGACAAAAGGAAAACTTATCTTAGCTGACACTTTTGATCCTCTGATGAACTTTATCAAAGCAAATGATTATATATACAGGGTGAAGCAAAGGTCACACACCATAAGGATAATTTATTAAAAGTATAAATACATATGAAAATTTTATTTCCTAGTTATTTAACTCTTATACATTCTGTTCAAAGTGTCCTTCTCCTTTTCAGAACAATTCAATTCTGTGTCTGCTGCATGATTCATTAACATGTCTGACGGTTACCTTCATTAACATGTCTGACGGTTGCCTTCATTAACATGTCTGACGGTTGCCTTCATTAACATGTCTGATGGTTGCCTTCATTAACATGTCTGATGGTTGCCTTCATTAACATGTCTGATGGTTGCCTTCATTAACATGTCTGATGGTTGCCTTCATTAACATGTCTGACGGTTGCCTTCTATCATTTTACTGCATTCATATTTAATTCATTCTTCAAGTACCATCTTACTTCAACAAAATTGTTTCTGCAAAATAAGAAAATATCAAAACAAATTAGACATTTAAAACATGATTAATTAATTAACCCCCATGATGCATGACTTTTGTATATATTAGGAGGCACAGTGGATAGCAGCTTGGATTGAGGAATTGGAGAGCTGAGTTCAAGTTCCAGTCAAATCCATTACATTCACTTATATGCTAATACCTTTGGGAAAGGTATTAATCCTCTTCTTCTTCCTCCAGCTATGGGTAAATAGCAGGACAGACTCAGTTCTATAGCCTTGGATGGCAATTGGTCCAGGGAACAACAACTCTGAATTCAAAACCTGAGGAGGGTCGTTTGGGGACCTTGTGGCATGTCGTGCACCAGGTCTCTGTATTCGGCCCTTCAAAAAGTATGGTTGGCTCTGTACAAAGCCTTCATGACTATAATCAAATAATATTTTCTGGTGTCTGGGCTGTTGATTCCTAGGAACTGAGATTGTAAGTCAAATACAATGGGAGAGTCCCCCATATATATATATATATATATATATATATATATATATATATATATATATATGTGTGTAATTTTAAGATATTTATATTTAAATATCAGGCAGAGAGTGTGTGTAAATATAAGTGTAGACTATTCATATTGACCAGTATATATAAATAGTGAGTCACCATTTATACTGACTAGCATATATAATCAAGCCACCACTGAACACAGATGGCCTGAAGATTGTGTTCAAGCATGACAGACTGTTCTCAGTATCTACAGATAGATAATTTATGCACACATCTTTATGCTCAACATCAAATAATATTGCATGTGTGTATGTGTATGTGGGTGTGTATGTTTGTGTGGGTATATATTGAGGGATTTGACATAACTGAAATTTTTAATTTAATCCAAAATTTTGTAATTATATCTGTATATGTGCATGTTCATGAGTATTTATATTCATCCTTTTCTATAAATACTTTCATGATAATTGTGCTGATCAACTTTCCTCTGTAGTACTTAGACTTTACAAATTTAAGTGTAGTGATAGATTGGCAACTTAATTTACAGTTGAATTGTCACAATGTAACCGTAAGTTCTATGCTAACAGTTTGTTCTCTTGCACTTCTTACTCGTGGAACCCTTTTCCAGCCAACATATATGTTGGCTGGAAAAGAGTTATATTGATATGGACATTGAGGTCAACATCCAGTGGTGGCAGTCTGTTTCATGCTTAAATGCAATCTTAAGGCTGTGTCCAATTTCATGTTTACATATACTTTATCTCTGATATTGAACACTACAACCCATAAAAATAACATATATATATATATATATATATATATATAAACACACACAAAATATTTATATGGTAAATTCATAAGATTATTAGGTTTAACCCTTTGAATTAAATACAAATACTACTTACTAAGTATTAAGTATATTATTCCTTTATTTATATGCTTAGATTTGATTTTTCAACACCATGACATTTGTTTTAGGTTCTTCACAATAATATCATACACAACTGCAAATAAATAAAATTAATCATGAATAACTGCTAGTTATTTGTTTTGGTTTGTTTGTTTAAAGGCATATCAATTCCATATGGGTTATTTAATACCAAAATTTTATTTATTTGTAAGCTTTGGTAATTTTTTTTTTCCTAAATGTATTGTGGGTAATTTTTTTCATTTTTTTTTTCACTATCAAAATGTTTTGCTGGTATTTTTTTCTTATGTATTTTTATATTTTCTTGTGTTGACCCCAACTTGGGTATTCACTATCTGCCCATAGTTGGAACCTTAACATGTGCTAGTACCTTGGGTCATATTTGTTTTGGGGATATTGTCCTCAATTTTGTTCATTAATCTTTACCATAAAACATCCTGAATCCTGTTAGATGCAAATAGATGTTGATCCAATAAATGGGTTAGGCAAGTTCTTTATTTTCCATATTGGGGGTGGGGTGCTGAAAAGTTCTCAGTCTTTTCCCTCCAAACTAAACAAATGAACAAACATCAGATGGACTTCTTTGTTATACCAATAACTTTTCTATCTATCTATCTATCTATCTATCTATCTATCTATCTATCTATCTATCTATCTATCTATCTATCTATCTATCTATCTATTTAGTCTTTTAGTAGACTCTGTATATAGATCACTAGGAGATTAATGGAAGCATTAAATAAACCTAACTTTTATTGCTCTTTTTATTATTGATGGAAGTTTCTTTTGTTTAAGATATCATTATTTTAGTTACATGTGTTACCAATATGGTATTGTCATATCTAGTTCAAGTTCTAGCCAAGGCCATTGCATTCAATTTTGCACAAGTAACCATTTGAATTCATCTCTTCTCCCCCAGCTAGGGGTTAATAGTGGATCAATCTGGGCTTTGTAGCTTTGGTTGGCAACTAGTTTAAGAGAAGGACACATCTAAATTTGAAACTGATTGGATTTGGAGTGAACAAATCCACTTCAGAAAAATTGACTTGCTACACAATCACAGCAGCACCATCTAGTGTGGTGAGGCTGTGACACTTTACTTCACAGTGGTGTTTACAGTGTGAACATACATCATACTTATTATAAAACCCAGGTTGTGTGTGTGTGTGTGTCTGTTTGTTTATATATTGGATCGGATTTCCTACATTTTTCAACCGATTTCAACGAAACTTCACAGGACTACGTAAAATTACCTTGCAGTGGTTCTGACACTGCCAAAAATTGGAAATACACAATTGTTTTTGCACGAAATCAATTTGAAAACACAATTAGGAGGCATCGCTGTCACGAGAATGAAGGGGGACAACTCATATCGAGTTATACTTATTATAAAACCCTGGTTGTGTGTATGTGTGTGTGTGTGTGTGTGTTTTCATTTATATATGGGATTGGATTTCCTACATTTTTCAAACGATTTCAACAAAACTTCACTTTTTTTTTTTGGCAGGTAGTGTTTCTTACTGTCTTGCACACTTTTTTCTTTATTTTTACATTCAGAATGCTTTAAAAATTCCATTTACAAGACAATTGTTTATAATAAAACTCATAACGATTGAAAACAATGTTTTTGTTTGAGTTTGGGTTTGAACAATTCATAAAAAAAAAAAAAAACTAATTAAGACATGCGTGTCTGTCAACCTTAAACAATAATCTTTGTCAATTTTCTATTTCAGTCTTTATGATGGTCGATACTTGATCTATCTCTTACTGTTACATCCCTGGGTAACGCCGGGCTATCCTGCTAGTATTATATATAATATACATACTTATATATACATATATATAATACAGATGTATTTCTATAGATTTTCACTACAAAAACACATTGAGAATCAATAATAAAGCAATTATCAGGAAATTATATGAGATTTACTTACAGAAAAAAGCTATTATATGTATAATGTAAATCTATTTCTAATGGTTTTAATGTAGAAATATATTGATAATCAGGAAGAAAGGGGTTGTCAGTGGCCAGGAATTAATGCAAGTATCTGAGAAAGAATAGGACTAATATATATATATATATATATATATATATATATATATATATATATATATATATATATATATATATATTGTCATCTATGGACAGACTGTTTCACTGTATCACAGCTCATCAGTGTGGCTAGATGTCCAGTTGCTTCTAGCTAGGATTGAAACCCGGGTGATTTGGTGTCAGTCAGCCCTTGGTGCATGGCAGGGATGAAGATGAATATATGCATATGTATTTTTGGATAAACACACAGTGACTGAGAGAACTCTATTCACTTTATGAAAGAGTCTTGCATTTATATATATATATATATATATATATATATATATATATATATATATATATATATATATGCATTGTATTGCTAAGGATTTTACTATAAAAATACATTGAAAATCAAGAAGAAACGTATTGTCAGTGATCAGAAATTAATGCAATCAATATTGATAGAATAGGTCTATTATATGTATAATGTAAATGCATTGTAAATGATTTTAATATAAAAAATCCCCTGAAAATCAGGAAGAAATGTTATGTAGTTATGAATTAATGCAAGCATTGCTAACAGACATATTCTGTATATAATAAAAGAATTCATATAGTTTCCTTTTAGTTTGCATTTAGTAATTTATTTTGTCTATAATTTGAATCAAATAAATTATTTTTGTGATACTCATATTGTCATTGTACATTACAAATAGAAACACAAGACTTCAATTTCATACATAACATTACATTTCTTTTCACTCTGGATTTTGCTGATTATCATTTGCCAATGTGTATCCCCAGATCTCATTGACCTTTCATTCTTTTATACAATATCACAGTTTCTTACTATTTTTCAATTTTGGTTCAATAATAAATGAAAATTTATATTGTTAGTTCATTTTGTTTATATATTAGATTAATATAGTTTGCTTACAGTCTAATAATTTGTTTCAAAGTATGATGAAACATTTGGATTAAAACCTCAAATCATAATAATTACACTGGATTATTCATAATAATGTCTGATATAAAAGTTGATTATGTCACAGTGTCTTTTGATATGCTAATGTTTTTATTCTGAAGTTTATGTCTCCAAAGCATTTTCAATCTATTGTGTGATATTGGGTTGTACTACTAAATGGACTAACATCAAGTACCTCTGAAATAACAAATATTTCTTAATTATTATAAATTTCTACTAATTTTGACTCCTACAAATTGTTTTTTCACAGAATTAATATTCCATTGCAAATCAACATTACAGATCTAGTTTTACCTTTTTTATGTAGATCTAAATAACCTTTAATTTATATGTAAAGGTTATACACTTCAAATTGTGCATTTATCCAATAACACTGTGTCAATACAAAAACTTCCATGAATACCAATGGGGGCATTTGCTAACTGACATTTTTCTTGATATATTAATTTATATCTAACTATGTACCAGCTGGAGTGAAATTGTCTACAGTTTAAAAAAGAGAAAAAGAATTGTATCAATTAATTGTAGAAAATTCAGTGAGAAAGAACTGTTTTATTCTCTCTAAAAGAAAGATAACATTTTGAAAAAAAATGTGTCCTGTATTTGTTAGACACTTCTAATAGCAAGCATAATTTTGTACTTATTTTCAGGATTTTTCCTGTTTGCTATTGCAAATGTATTTTTTAAATTTTATTTCCCAAAATGTCATTGTCCTTCTATGGTTACTACAGTCATAGTACAAAAGTAGATTTATCAGGAGTTAGCATTTACTGATATATTAGGTTCTTATATAACTTTGTTTGATGCCCAGGGCCAACTCCTTGATTCTATGCCTCTAAAGCTCAAAAAGTGGGGATGCCTAGTACTGAGAAATGTGAGAAAAGAAGACATTTTAATGATGTAAAATAAAATGAAACATGAAATAAACACTTTATTCAAATTAATTATGAACTTAATTTCTATTTCACTTATTGATTTGATCCTCTCCTGATATGGATGATCAGGACCATTCCCTCTGCCCCTCCCCACTTCTGCACACTACTTTCTTCATTGCTTATGACCTCCTGCCAATGATCCACTGTTTAATGCCTCAATGACAGAAATCACTAGGTTTTAACTCAAAAAATTCATCAAGCCATGTATAAGTTGCACATAATTGTTGAACAAAGCACCCTTCAGATTATTAGAAACTGACCAAAAAGGTGGTAGTCTGAAAGGGCCAAATCAGGAGAATATGGTAGGAACAGAAGAACTTTCTAACTGAGTTTTTTCTTTGTATCTACAAGTAGCCTGTTGTTGAGTGAGTAAACTGACAGCAATGGAGGAGCTCTGGAGCTTATTCAAGGTGTTGCCTGCTTGTCGGGACTTACTAATTCTTTTCTCTGCTTTTCTCATATTCATGTAAAGACACTGTTTTTTTTTACCTGGTAATAATATAGTAAAGGAATCTTTCTTTGTATCTATATGTAGCCTGGTGTTGAGTGAGTAGACTGGCAGCAATGAAGGAGCTCTTTCTTTCAGTCAATGCACATGGCACCTATGCACCTCGTTTCTGGTTCTTACCCATTGAATGAAGATGACAAGCAACAGTAACATCAGAACTTGCTATATTTTGTGCCAAGTCCTAGTGGTTTGGTACAGTTTCTTAATCAATGCATACAATTGGTTCTTCTCAAACTGAACAAGTCGGCCAGAATGCATAAAGTCTGTGAGCTCAAACTTCTCCTCCTTGAAACAGGAAAACCATTACTGTGCCATTCTGTTGGTAATAAAGTTATATCCATACACAGCACAAATATTTTGAGCTGCTTTGTGACCTGTGTTAAAAAAGCAAAGATGTCAAATATGCTCATTTTTGTCTACTTGACATTACATCTCAAAGGGGTATCTAATCTGAAATAAAATTCCAATAACAGTTTCAAAGGATGACCAGAGTTGATAAGAAACAAAAAATGCTCCAAAAGATTATTCTTCAAGATCATTTACAGAAAACCAGAAAAAAATGAATAAATATAAATGACAACCCATTTTATTTACAAGATCAGGTAATATTATTTTTCAGGGATATATTATTATGATATCATCAATATATTATTAATATATTGATTGTTTAGGTAAAATATTTTCAAAAGGTTCAGATTCAAAAAATTCATCAAGCCATGTTTTAAACTCCACATAATTGTTGAACAAAGCACCCTTCAGATTATTAGAAACTGACCAAAAAGGTGGTAGTCTGAAAGGGCCAAATCAGGAGAATATGGTAGGAACAGAAGAACTTTCTAACCAAGCTTTTTCTTTGTATCTACAAGTAGCCTGGTGTTGAGTGAGTAAACTGGCAGCAATGAAGGAGCTCTGGAGTTTGTTTCTCTTGGTCAATACATCTAGCAACCATATGCTATGTTCCCTATTGAGTGAAGATGATGAGTGATAGTGACATGAAAACTTGCCATTTTCTGGGCCAATTTTCTAGTGGTCTGGTGTGGTTCTTCTTTAATTCAGGTGAAATCAAACTGAAGAGGTTGGCCAGAATGTGAAGAGTATGTGAGTTCTAACTTCCCTTCTTTGAAACAGGAAAACCATTTCTGTTCCATTCTATCATTAATGAAGTTGGTAATGAAGTCATCCACAGCACAAATGTCTTGAGCATCTTTGGTATCTTGATT